CAAAGCTTTCATCAAATGTGTATATTCGATGAACTGGCTGTGAATGTGAAATATATATGTATTTGTTTAATTTCGTTACATGTTTTAACCATTGTTACAGGTACCTCTATATTGTATATCCTCCAAAGATACTTTTGTTTCGTTTCGATAAGGATCTTCAGCAAGAGGATATATTGCTGAAAACAATATTTCAAAATTTTCGTTTGCTTCCTCATATGTATATATTGTTTCTATGTTAAATAATTATTTACCTTATTTATATTATTTATAAATTGTGTGTTTATTCAATATTTGTTACATTTATATAATTATGCATGTATTTATATGTTTGTCAGTCATACATTTATGTACATGTAATGATTTATGTACTTTTTTGTAAGAAATGTATTGTATATATATGTACTCTTCAAAACTGGAGGAAATAAAGAAATATATATATTTGTTGAATCTTTTAGTAGAAACTACAAAAGAATGTTCCATTACGTAACTCAGGTAATTTTAACAGGGCAGGTTATTATAATGAATGTGGGAAAGAAAAGATAAATATACCAAAACAAACTGCAGGTAAAATTATACAAACAATTCCATGTTTCCTTTTCCATTATAATTTGTTATACTAGTTTTAAAATTAGCATAGTTAAAACATATTTAATGTATGGTTCTTTAGATGTATTGAAATATACAATTATATCTTTATTATCTACTTTATTCTTTTAGCCATGTATCTTTGAGGAGGTAATGGACAGTATTGCAGAGTTTAGTGTATTGATTAATATTTCAGAATTCATTCATGTAATTAATTGATCGGCCGACCACTTGTAATATTGACTACTTTGTAAACGTTGGGCTAAGCTAGATTATTGCCAAGTTTCATGAATATAACATATTATATATGACACGAATCATTTCTATACTTGATTACTAGTAGAATGAAAAGCTAAATGTATTTATAGAGTCTTATGACACAGTCAGGTGATGGAAAAAGGAATTTGAGTCTGGTGTAGAGTGCATCAAAAATGCACCAAAATCAGGTAGGCCAAATCTGCATCTCGTAACGAAATCGTTTCCAAAATAAAGGATATCATTGAAGGAGATGCCAGATTTACAGTTCGTGATATTGCACGAAAGGTAGCATGTCACTATCATTGGTTCACTTTATTTTGAAGGATATCATTGAAGGAGATGCCAGATTTACAGTTCGTGATATTGCACGAAAGGTAGCATATCACTATCATTGGTTCACTTTATTTTGAAGAAGCATTTGAAAGTGAGAAGGATTTCTGCTAGATGGGTGTCACATCTGTTGACCGATGAGCAAAAAAAGCAACGGGTTAAAGTGGCCAAAAAGCTGCTTCAAATGTTTCCAAAATATGACAAAAAACAGTTTGCCACTGTCGTCACAGGTGATGAAATTTGGGTACATTATTTTGAGCTCGTCAGTAAAGTTAGCAACAAAATCTGGGCCACTGAATACAACAAACGCTCAATAATTACCAAACGGTCTTTGAGTGAAAAGAAGGTTTTGTATTTTTCTTCTCTAGTAAAGGAGTCGCAATAAAAGTACCGGTGAAAAAGGGCAAAAATATCACTGGGAAGTACTACAAAGACGTAGTACTTAAGAAACTGAAAAAGTATTATAAGAAACGACGCCAAGTCACTGGTTTTAAGCATATCAGTCTTCTACATGACAATGCCCCCGCTCATACCTCCGCAATAGTTCCGGCGTTTTTGAAAAAAGAAAAAGTAACTGTTTTGCCTCACCCCCGTTTCCTCCAGACCTTGCCCCATGTAATTACTTTTTGTTTCCGAAATTTAAATCCTTCCTTGCTGAACGGAAATACCAGTCCCGACAGACACTTGGATCTGCCATTCATCAGTACCTTATTTCTGTGCCCAAATCAGCGTACCGTGACGCCTTCAAGAAGTGGATACTTCTTCGACTTTATAATAATTTATGTTGATCTGACACTTATATGCAGGTTAATGTAAACAGCAATTTCAAATTTTAAAAATTAAGTTTTGAAATATAAAACACTTGAACAATAGTGTTGATATTTGTTTTTCATATATGTATCAGATTTCATTTGCTTTCTTATCATTTTCAACCCGGTAACTGATATGGGGAACGAATACATACTATTGATAATGTACAAATATTGATGTGGTTTTTTTACCAAGTAACATTAGATAAACGGTAATCTGTTTCGTGATCGATTAAAAATACATTTAAATGATTTTCTTACGTTAAGATAAATAATAATGATATCTATATTTCATCAAAGAGTGAAATCCGAATTAAATAAAGGGAAATAAATACTACAATGATACTGTAAAAATACAAAAAAAAACTATAATACTATGTAAGTGAATTCAATTTTACGACCATGATTTTTCTGAGCAAAATGTGCGGTAGTTATGATGAAAACTGAGTAGTATACGCCTGTATTCTTGTTCTAAGTAACTGTTCAATTTAGCCCTATGCTTGAATAGTATTGCAGTATAAAAATGATACCGACTATTTCAATATTAAAAATAAAATTAAAACAGAAAGCTGCTCTTATTTACGATACATTTACTGAAATATTGTAAATGATGTTCATAATAAAATAATTAAGATGCCTTTCAAAAGAAATTATTACATAAATCGTTTCAATAAATGGTTTGAGTTGAAATAAAGAACGTACGATTTCTCAGGAAAAACAACATTGAAATGACTCTTTATCATACGTTCTCTTATACGTGATATTCAATTTGGAGAGATGCATAAGATATTCTATAAGAAACATTTGAATATCCGTATGTAATGGTCGGCAAGACAGATGAGTTTTCTATGCTGATCGTCTTATTAACGTGTTGTTTAATGTCCTTATTATCTAGTTATGTCGATAGAAGAGATACACGCGAAATAATTAAGGTACAAAAGCCATGTAGGTGAAAGACTTAAGAATTCGATCTGAAACTATGCAGCATTTCCAATAACAAGTTATCAAATTATACGTTTATTTATTTTAATATTGAAAACGTATTTTTAAAATAAATAAACAAAAGACCATGTACATAAACGTAAGTATTATTTCAAAATATGACTTTATATTGACTTTTATTATTAAAATTATACTTAAAATAGCGTAAATCGGGATATTGCACGTCATTGCCAATGATAGCAGTATAACTGTATTATTTCGTCGATGCGTTGTTTTCGTTTACTTTAAGAGGAACGAAGGATGCACTATCGACATAATTAACAAATGAAGAAATACTTCCCAATAACTCTTGCGTTGAAATTTCAAAGTTAATGACTTTCTTTTGACATGAAGATCCATCAACCGCAATTGAAGAAAAACAAAAGCCTCTTAACCCTTTCTAAAAATGTCAAAAGATATTCAATTATTCATATCATGACGGTGAAAAAATAAAATACTTCATTTTTCCATTTGTTAATTATGTCGATAGTGTATCCTCCGTTCCTCTTAGAGCAAACAAAAACAACCGTCGACGAAATGATACAGTTATACTGTTATCATTGGCAATGACTTGCACCCCCATTTACGCTATTTTTAAGCATAATTATAATCATAACAGTCAATATAAAGTCATATTTTGAAATAATGCTAACCTTTTGGTCCTTTGTTTATTTGTTTTAAAAATACGTTTTCGATACAACAATAAATAAACGTATAATTTGATAATTTGTAATTGGAAATCGTATTTTTATGTATTTCATCTACATTGCTTTTTGTACCTAACTTATTTTGCGTGTATCCCTTCTATCGACATAACTAGATAATTAGGACATTAGACAACACGTTAATATGACAATCAGCATAGGAAACTCATCTGTCTTACCGACCATTAATATCACATACGAATATTCAAATCCTTCTTATAGAAACTAGACAGAATATATCTTATGCATCTCTACAAATTGAATATCACGTATAAGAGAACTTATGATAAAGAGTCATTTCAATGTTGTTATTTTTTCTGAGAAATCGTACGTTCTTTATTTCATCTCAAATCATTTAATGAAACGATTTGTTGCAATAATTTCTTTTGAAATGCATCCTTATTATTTTTTCATGGACATCATATACAACATTTCAGTAAATGTATCGTTGATTAGAGCAGTTTTTCTGTTTTAATTTGAATTTTAATATTGAAATAGTCTGTATCATTCTTATACTGCAATACTATTCAAGCATATATAGTAAGGCTAAATTGAACAGTTACTTATGACGAGAATGCAGGCGTATACTATTCAGTTTCATCATATATTTATTTTGAAGTGTTTAACTATAGAACATATTGCTCAGAAATATTCTTTGTCGTAAAATTGAATTCACTTACATTGTATTATAGTTTTATATTATTACAGTAGCATTGGAGTATTTATTTCCCTTTACGTATATTCGGATTTCACTCTTGGATGAAGTATACACATCATTATTATGTATCTTAACGCAAGAAGATAATTCCAATGTTTTTTTAATCAATCACGAAACAGACTACCGCTTATCTAATGTTACTTACAAAAATAAAAATTATGTTGGACAAACTTTTTCAACTATTATCATTTATATTAGAATATTTTTATGAGATAAAACGTGACACTATAACACAGCGCCCGAAAAATGGATCTTCATCGATATCTGTACATTATCAATAGGACGTTTTCGTTACCATATCAATAAACGGGATAAAAAATGATAAGAAAGCAAGTGAAATCTGATACATATTTGAAAAACAAAAATCAACACTATTGTTCAAGTGTTTTATATTTCAAAACTTTTTTTCAAAAATTGAAATTGTTGTGAAGAATACTCGTTTTACATTAAGCTATATATAAGCGCCAGGTCAAAACAAATAATCGAAAAACACTGATGAGTTGCAGAAATCTTATAATAAAGGTACGCGTATTCTATTTACGCTATTAATTATATGTCTTGAGAAAATTAGAAATACCGTACGTAAATAAAATCAGTACCAATAATAACATCACATACATTTTGCAATAAGATTTAATGATTTAAATAATTGAAACGTTTAATTCTGTCAACAAATGAAATCAAAAGAAGTTAAAGGTTAAATGCAAAGTACGAATTACACATATTTTCATTATAAAATCAATAAACTGATTAGGGTTTGTTTTTATTTTCAAACTGTCAAATTGTGCTCCATGTCATATTTATGTAATTCACAACTTATTTGCTCGTTACGTTTTAGGGAATGTCTTTCTTTTCTTGTTTATTCAATAGGGTTGTTTCTACTTTAAGAAACGCTTTTTCTTTCGATGATCTAACAATTTTTCATGTCGCTTAAATTTTGCAACGTAAGTAGATTCATCTCTCTTATCCCATATGCAACATTTCTCTATGAAACGCATACTGTGGTCTTCTATGCCGTCTCGACTCATGACGTAACATTTCAACCAAAGAGCTTAAAGCTCCATTTATAGAAAGCCTAGCTCTTTTATCTGTATTCCCTTTAGTATCTTCCATGAAATCAATCTTTGCTGTTCCAGCATCCATGTTATCCAAAATTCGTTTTAGAATGTTCCCCGAATACGACGCGACCAAAGGCTTTGCTCCATTGTTGACAGTTCTATTTTTATCTATACCTATAGCTTGCGCACAGTCTTTCAAATATCGGGCGTCCTTTGTTATCAAAAATAGCAACATAAACTGCTTGGGGCAAAGTTGAGTTTCATCGTCTACTCGGTGTTGGAATAATTCATCCAGTGATACATCATTATCATATTGTCCATCTTGGTTAGAATAGGAAACAAATTCGTCATCTTGTCTTTCATTATCAGGAAATGTATCACTCTCAAGAATGTTTGATGAAACAAATGTCATGGATAAACAAAGTAGCAGAAAAACGTAGGAAATGTTAAATATGTCCATAGCCGTCTGTTTGAGAAAAACCTGAAACATATAAATAAAAAGTATTTGAAAGCAATCAGTTTTTTACAGACGTAAATAAAAATTCGATAAAGAAAATTTTATTAGAAGATTCTAAATAAACTTAACACTTATCCTGTCATTGCATTACCATCGTCATCATTAGAATTAACAACAATAACAACAACAACAACATACATATAAAAGTTTCAAATCAATTCTTAGAAGATAAACAACAGTTATAATCACTGAATTAAACGTTGTTGTAATTTCAATTTGATTGGACATTTCCATGAGAGGCAAAGGTTAATTATTCTATCACAATGACATACTTTAAAAGTTATTAAAAAAAAGGACATTTAATGAATCACCCCTGCTACGTTTAAAGATCCTGTATGATTTGTGATTGATATTGTTACAGTGTGTAACACACTTGCAAAAAATTATATATGTGTATAATTATGGAAATAAAACAATTTTCAAACATCGAAGAACATGTAAAATATGTACTGCAAATATTTGTGCACATTATATTTAATCAATAAATTACATGCATTCATTTCTTATTGGAAAAATTGACTTAAAATTTATAGAAAATATAGAGGATATTTGTTTGTTTGTGTGTAAGATGAAATTTTATTTCATCGAGTGGGCTTTAAAAACAGTATTCTCACGAGTGGCGTAGCCACGAGTGAGAATACTGTTTTTAAAGTTCACGAGATGAAATAAAATTACATCTTACACAACAAACAAACAAATTTTCTTTTTATTTTATGCTAAAAAACAAGTTTAAACGAAATTTCCATAATATTAACATAAATATTAAAATCTGTTTCCCCATTGAGAGCCCCATTTCGTGCGAATTTCTCATTAAAAACAAGAAGTCTTGAGCTGAAAAATAAGTCCGACAATCAACATTAAATGACAGTGATATTATTTATTTTTTTTAAAAAATATGAATGATCGCTTGTTTTAATAATAAAAACAAACAATTCGTGTAGGAGAAAATTCCAACCATCCATCCATATTTCTGTTACCTACTGCGAATTTATATTAGACCTGGCTTTGTTAAATGTAAGCGGCAGCCATTGTTTAAAGTTGTGTATTTCACGGGAGGAAAATAATTTGTGTTTGATTCAGAGGGATATCATTTGGAATTGTTAGTCATACACCTTTTTAAAAGAAAGAAAACATATTTGAGGATTGAAACAGACAAAAATTAAGTGTTGACAGATGTGAAAACATGAAAAAAGCAGCTATGAAAATGGAAGACTTGGCACTTGCTCGGAACGCTGGGTTGGTTTACTTGTTCTACGAGCTGTAGCTGTCATTGCTTTTCAATTATTCATAAAGCATACGGCAGTTATTACTCGTAGGATACTTTAATATGCCCAAATGTCATCAAGAGCAGTTTGCATGTGGAAGGAATGTATTTTTCAGACTGTAAAAATGAAACAAAAAAATTAGAGACGAAATATGGTGATTGGAATTTGAATGAATAGAAGTAAGTCTTCTTCTTTTTATTACTTTTGACGTTTAAGGTATTTATCAATTTCAGCTTTCCTTTTTCTTTAAACAGCCTGACATTGTCAGAATTGTCAGCAAAAATGAAATTGAGGTACCACATGGGGAAAATCTTAAAAAAGTAGTTTCGTCATTGAAAAAAGTGAAATTATATTTTGATAATTTTCACTGTGAAATTACCAAATATAATTTTAACGGATAAATCAGTAATCCACTGAAAAGCATAAAATAAAAATTTCTAATTACCTCTCTTTATTAACATGAAATGTTATTTTGGGTAATATCTTTATAAATAATTGTTATTGGAACTTACAATATTGAACATCTTAATTTGAGCATCATATTTATGAAATCAAAGTGCTGCAGCACTGAATGCGACGGACATGCAACCGGAGAGACATTAAGGCTTTTTTGAGAAAACAAAAACACACAAAAGGTATAACAGAGAAAATTTGTTCCATACAAGAGAAAAAAAAACTATCAACGAAATATTTCTAAAATATATAAACTTCAAACATAATACATAATACATGTGAGAATGTTAATGTGAATTGCTTCGTGTTATATCACAGTGGGCATATAGACAATAAAATATAAGTCATTTGTATTTTTATTTCTCTTGGATATGTCTCATTAAAGATATTTTTGGTTAAAATCATCAGCAATTAATGGTGTATTTTTTTAGAATTTAATTATTTTTCATTTACGAGGTCCAGAGTACAAAGTTTTTATTTTAATTTAAATGTCACTTAAGCACTACAGTGTTTAGTTGTCCCTTTCAATTTCACACTAAATTCCATTTTCAACTTGTTTACTTCTTACAATAGAATTTCTTAAAGTATTGCATGTAAACAAAGTAAGTGTACGCTGGTTTATTACATGTATAAATGTGTACACCCTAATCGCATGTCCGAAAGTCAGCACAGGTGAATCTATTTTTAGAATAGTGTTGGCTATTATAATCTCACATATCGTGACCTAGAAAATTATGTAAAGAAAACACAAGAATCGGAAGAAGAACTGATATTATAACTTCCTTCAAGAAAGATTACCATGAAAGACTACATGGTGGTAAAGTGTTGATCCCATGCATTTTCAAAAATAGATATTTATAATACTAACCATTGTACTGTAGTCTAATTTATTAATAACTGCTGCATATTCATGCAGCTAAATCCGCGGTATGAGTCACGGAAATAGTTCTTCTTTTATTAATGCGCGAGTTATTCTAGAGTCACGAAAAACTTTTGATCTGTTAATAAAAAATGTTTAATGGAGAAATATTTATTTCCTACTAATAGTTTTTATGAATTATTGAGCTTACTCCTTAATTATATAGCATAACTTGCTGTCCTACTTTTTCGACAGCGGTAAATCGTTTCAGCAGTTATTTGCATATTGCGCAAAAATACTACGGGGGCTACAACGTTTTTATCAATCAAATACGTTCATATTTTAACTTGGATAACTTAATTCAAAATTTAAAAGGCTAAATATGAAAGTTTTTAAGATATCCCGACAAAGTATGGGAGTTTCATAGGATCAAATTCATGTACTATTTCTTGGGCTGTTATTCGGTTGAGGACACCTGCGCGATTGTAGCCGTCGAAATCCCATGTGTAGATGACATAGCTCTGAACGCGCCTGAGGGCGCGTCCGTCGCAATAAAACCATGAAAAAATTGTGTTACAGGATCTTTAATGGTAAATGGGATCTTTAATGTTCTATTGATATTTAGCACATCTGAGCACATTGTCATCCAGGTTAGCTATAGCGTCCCCTCCATCTGTCGTCCGTTGTCATTTGTCTTGCGTCAGGTGTCGTGCGCCGTCAACATTTTCGTTGAGCATTATATCCTCTGATTCTTGTGATTAAATTTCAACCAAATAGAAATTATCCTTAGGTTGCCTCATTCAAAAGTTGTTTAAATTTTTCTTGTCACTTGGTTGTTTAACATGCGTCTGGGATCAAAATGGGTCGTTTCACGTGACTCGGGATCTCCGTATTGTCTAAATAATTGTTTTTAGGCCAATGGTTTTCAATATGTGCATAAAGGAAAAAAAACCTCTTGAATATATAAGCACAAATCTTTAATATTTTGAATGATGCAACATGTGGTAGAGCTCTACCAAGACATTTGACCCGAGGAATATTTCCCTTTTGGAACATTAAGGATCTACAGTACTCAGGTTACGTGAGGAGTTTGGTGAACCCTAAGGATTTTGGTCGGTCAAAGGTCAAGGTCAAAGTTGCCTGGACTTAAAGCTTGTTGATTTTAAAGTACCTATGAATGTCCATGTCACACTACGGAATATAGTTAAATACTTTTTCATATATTTATTCATGTTATAGTCTGATTTTATTTGACCTGTCAATTTTGAATACATTATAGCACTCATTTAAATATCCGATCCAACTTCGGTTCCGTCCGTGTAGTTTACGAGAGTTAATATGGAATATATAACTAATGTTTTGAAATTCACATATACCTTGTCAAATCAGCGATAGCACAGACGGTAGAGTGATTGTCTAATTTATTCCCTGTCTGTAGTTCGATCCCTACTTTTGCCATTGTTTTAACGCCTACTCTTTTTCTTAATTTTTGCAGTATATTTTCACAGAAATGGCCAAGTGCTTCTGATATTGTCTACACACGAGTCAACTTAGAAACATTGTTTCGATTTGTATTGTGTTTTACGCCAATGAAATGACATTTTCTAATTTTAATCGGAATGAATTATGAATATTAATTCTAAAAGCATGTTATTTAAAAAGAGTTTTGACTTTACCAAATATAATTGATAAACATATTAAATCAAAACGAACACCACAACAAGCAATCATAGTTTCAATAATGTTGAAAATAGTTTTAATTAAGAAAAAAAAACATTGGAGATACGCGGTCTCGATCTTACAACACGTAGGACACTTAGAAATCATTAACCCGTAGCTTACAATACGTCTTATGGTTAAACAGTTGCTTTATCTTACAACATTCATGAATTAAGAAATAATGTCGGTATAGCAGGGTTTATCGGCTATTTAACACCGGTTTGGAGTTTTGATGCGAAGGAATTGACCAGGAAGGCCGTAGGTCTGAGTTGTTATTTTTTCGCATCAGAACAACTGTTCTATTTTCCTCCCTAACTGTTGCTAAGATACAGAAATTGTTACAAAAGAAATAATAAAAAAATGTTATTTTATCAAGTTTTCAACAAAAAAAACCTACGTCTCCGACTGAATTGTATTGTGTTTACATCAGTATTTGTTTAATTATTCTTGTATGTTTGACATGACGGCTTTCTAGCGTTTATGAATGAGTTGTGTACTCAGGATGACGTCATTACGCTGCTTACGGATTGGCGCCGTATTGTCAAAATCATTATTAACTGATATGGGTTTGTGGCGTTAGTGTATGTGAGATATTATTTCGGTATTGTATGAAAAGAAAACATTATAAAAACTGACACTATCAATAAAATGCTTTGTAATTGTTGCTT